AACTCATACACATAGTTCTCAAAAACTTATTAGTTGACATTCACATCGGTTGTAAAGAAAAGATCGTAGGCCGATGCATTCGTTTCGAATACCAAATTTCATTTTGGATTTTTTTTTTTAGTCGGTTTTCCGAAATGTTTATACTATTAAAAATCACATCTCCATATCAATACAACAACAACAAAAAAAATGTCATATTACACAAAAAAAAAAAAACTAAATACTTTTTGTAAGGACAAATATTTAGTAATCATATACTTCTTTATGTTTTTTTTTCCTTTAATCAATTTTTTTTTTAATCGTGGATCATCCGATAAAACCGGATTACACTTCTTGTATCTATTTTTCGGACCAATCTCGGATTTTGCCTTATCTATGGATTTTTTAGTGGCGTGGTTCTTAGAATGATATTTACCCGTCCTCTTAGGTATGATTACCAAAATGAAAAATTTTGGGTATAGTTAATTGAGGTACATTTGATTCTTAATAGGAGGTCCCTTGTTTGGTTTGTTTTTGTTAGGTAGGCTTTCTGTTTCAGTTTTTTACTCTGGTGATGTAGACTGTGAGTCGTCTACTAATATATATGTTGGGATGACCCAAGAAAAGAAAAAAGTAAAAGCCTCTTCACAAACTAATTTATTTTTTGTTTGATTGTATTGTTAATTATTTTAATTATGTTTTTATCCATGTTTTAATCAAGAAATCACTTGTGAACCGTTTTGAAAGATTGTTATGTGTTGGAAATAGAGAACGGTCAAGAACTTTTCATTAACGCAAATGTCAAGATAGAACATGATAATTAAACATCACTATAAGATGGTTTTTCTAAAAATTTCTTAAAAAAACCAATTAACGATGCTTCTAGGAATCAGAAAACAAGTGATTGATAGTAATGAAAGTTTTAGTTGACAAAAAACTGGTACGCAGAATAGAGATTACCTTATTTTATGAGATCGGGGTACCAACTTGGATTTTGTTTAAAGGAACAACAACAGAGCTTGGAATAGAATTCCATGTATTTTATGTGATTTGGTTATTATTGGCAATACATATATTGTTATCACAATTTTCATATGTGCTAACTATTTTAATATATTTATCTTTATATATTTCACATTTTCCTAAAGTAATAATTTATGTTTTCATATATGACTTTAAATTATTTATGTTTTCATAAATAACCTTTTTACTTTTACAAG